GCGCGAGGCACCCAAGCACAGGCTCCTGGTGCTGGTCAAGGACAATGGGGAGCCGCCCCTGTCTGTCACCGTCACGCTGCACGTGCTCCTGGTGGATGGCTTCTCTCAGCCCTACCTGCCTCTGCCTGAGGTGGCCCCTGAGGAGCCCCACGCTGACTCCCTCACTGTCTACTTGGTCATCGCTCTGGCCTCGGTCTCCTCGCTCTTCCTCTTCTCTGTGGTCATGTTCGTCACCCTGAGATTGTGCAAGAGGAACAAGGCCACTTCTGTGGGTCGCTTTCCAGTGCTAGAAGACCACTTTCCAGACCACTTGGTGGATGTGAGTGGCACCGGGACCCTGTCCCACAGCTATCAGTATGAGATTTGTCTGGCTGGACCTTCTGGGACTAATGAGTTCAAATTTCTGAAGCCCATAATTCCCAATCTCCCAGTCCCCGGCCCTGGCAGAAATATTATGGAAAATGCCAATATACGAAATAGCTTTGGTTTCAATATTCAATAGAAGAGTGTTTTTCAACTTTTATTTTTATTATTATCATACATACTGCTGTTGCTTTTTACATAAGCTACTGTAGGTTTTAGGTTGTACCATGGCATTGGATGCATCATTAACATTGTTCATGATTTCCTCAACTTTGCTTTAGACTTTTGTATTGGTGTCAACAACAACAACAAAACCCTCATCTCATTGTCATCCAGTTGGAACTGACTCATCCAGTGGGTTTTCAGAAGCTTAAATCTTGCAGGAGATTGCCCATCACCTCCTGCAAAAGAGCTGGTGGAGTCTAACCACCTACCTTTGGTTTCTCAGTGCAGCCCTTTACCCTCTTGGCCTCTAGAAGTGAAATTAGAATCTGTATACATTAAAAAAATTAATTTGGTCAAAGATGTTACATTAAGAAATTATCACACATACACACGCACCCCTCCCAAGCCCTGGCTCTGAGATCTGGCTCTGAGATCTTGAAATCCTAAGCCAAAAATATCTCAGATATTCAAACCAAACAATTGCTTATTAATAAAGAATGTCTGCCTTAAGCATTTTGTCTTTTTATTAACTCAGAAAGTTAGACAGGAAGCTTGAGGACCAATGAGTTGAGGAGGAACAATTCTGAAAAGGCATGTGAGAATGGTTATACAACTTGAAGACTGTAATCAATGTCCGTGAATAGTACACATAAAATTGTTGAATTGATACATGTTCTCGTGTATGAGTAGTCTCAATAACAACAAATTACATAAAAATGGAACTCTTAATTGTTTTTTGTGATAATAATATTGTTTATGCATGATAGTGTTCTTAATTTTAAGAGATGCGTACCGAAGTATTTAAGTATGAAAGTCACAGTATGTGTTTTTACTTCATCGCATATATTAGGCAAAAATTTTTAATTCCTTTAAATCTTTGTGGAGAGCATTTTGGAATAATTTCAACATAAAAAGTCCTCCTTTTAATATTAAGTGTTACAGAAGTTGTTGTAGAATGTTATTCAAAAACTATGACAAAATAAAAAGTACCACATTGAATTATTGATTTGTTAAGTGTGTAATTTAAAAGAACTATTTTTTATTTATACTTTTGTAAGAGAAGAATCTTATAACGTTCTGGGCCTTGCTTGGCATTGCTATTTTGTTTTCTTTAAGTACACTATGTGTAATAATTAAAGTTTCTATTATTTTATGTTATTCTTTATTAAGGCAGAATAAAAGTCCTAATATCATCCTAAATTAAATAGCTTTTATCAGAAGAATACAAGATGACAGATTCTTAAGAAATTAAAATGGAAATCCAAACAATTGAAGAAAATTACTTAGGTTCATTTTTTATGTAAGCTTAAGAATTAACATTAAACATCATTAATATTTTTACCTCTCAAAGATATCCACAAAAAATAATGTTTCTTCATTTAAAATTTATGCATGTCGTCTCTGTGTTACAAATTTTAAGTATCTAATCTATAAATAGGGAGTTGTGATGCTTTAGTAGTAAAGAGTTGCACTATCAACCCAAAAGTATGCCAGTTCCAATGCAACGGATGCTCTGAGAGAGAAAGATGGACAATCTCCTCCCATGCAATTTTTAGCTTCTGAATACCCACTGGAGAGTCAGCTGTTGGTTGGATCCAACTCAACAATATCTGACAACAATCTATAAATGGACAGCTTAATGGATGATTGTAGCTAGAGATTTTGATAACTGGAATGTTGTTGTTGTTATGTGCCATCGAGTCGTTTGCGATTCATAGCGACCCTATGTACAACAGCCCTAAACCCT